AACAATAGTTTGATTTCAGATCAATCCAATTAATCCAACTCCTAGTAATAAAAAATCAAATAAATCAAACCTTTCTTTTTCGAAGCTTGTACTCTTGTAATTCATCAGGATCACTTATCTTCTGTTTGGGAGGCTGAAAAGAAATAATTATCAGTTAGTAACTATCATCTTAAATCGGCAAACAAATTGATGTGTAGAATTAATAATAGATAAATCTTGTTTTTATTGTGGACCTCAAAAACTTTGGTATAATGAATTGGAGTGATAATGAGCTGATTTTAGGTTAATAATAATAATAATAATAATAATAATACCTTTATTTAAACACGATGTGTTTCAAAGCTGAACAGCTTGTGGGGTCATGTGTAAATCAAATAAACTTCTAAATTAAATAAATTCAAATGATGGTTTTTGAGGAGAAGGGAAAACCAGAGTACCCGGAGAAAAACCTCTCCGAGCAGAGTCGAGAACCAACAAACTCAATCCACTTATGACACCGGGTCCGGGAATCAAACCCGGGACACATTGGTGGAAGGCGAGCGCTCTCACCACTACGCCAACCCTACTCCCCTTTGTTTTGTATCACTGCACTGTTTTTCTTTTCAGAGTATTTCAATCTTAAATTTGGAAAACAGGGAACCTTGCAGAAAGGAAGAAGAATTAATTAAGTTACCAATAAAATAAAATCTTTCATGTTAGAAGTTAAATGTATTTCTCTTTAAAAAGGTGGAATATCTTTCAAAAGTGGAAGCTGCACTGGCAAGTTAGAGCAAAGCAATAACAATTTTTTTTTTTTTTTTTTTTCAGGTCTGATTTCCACTATTGCTTAAATAGTGCTTTACTGCGAAGGATCGTTCTCATATACAATTCATTGCTTATTTGGGAAAAAATCAATGAAATCATACAGTGGGAGTCAAGAGTTAAATCAATTTTCTTAACAATTAATTTTGGTTGAAAATGAAGCATAGTATCATATTAAAGAGTTTGCAAGAAAACTGGTTAGGAAAATAATGTTCTGAATTATTTTCTCTCCTTGCTTTAACAATCTAAAATATATTTCTGTGTGGAATACCACAATCTATACAAAAAATTGGAAAGTAATTTATAGAATTATAAAGATATAAAGGTAACTGCAGTATGTACAGTTTAACTTACTGGTGGAACCAATTCTAACTGCCTCTCCTTGGCCTCCCTCAAGAGTTGTTCAGCTGTGATCTGAACTGGAGCTGGGGCCTTATTCTTCACCTGAAAATATGAACAAATGTATTCAGTGAATAACAGGAACTAATGGCACCTTATATTGGAGACACACCAGAAAACTTCATATAACGATGGTACAAAATTTGAAAGCCAGCAATATTTAAAGCAGCCAAATTTGGTGATGTTTTGCATTGATTGTAGCAATTCAGTAATCATATCAGGAAAAAAGAAGCAAGATTTAACTGCTTGAGCTAGGGATAAACATTTGCTACAATATCCATTGAAATTCCCTGAAGCAGACACACTCAGCAACTTCTGGAAAATTTTAATGGGTGATAAACACATTGGTAGCAGTGACTGGTATTGGCTAAAATTTCCTGATGAGTGACAGGCTTCCATCACATTCCAACAGAACTCATGAGTTCAATGAACGTGAACCCAGTATGCCTGATACATGTACCCAGAACTCAATCAACTTAAC